AGTAGTTACTAGGAACAAGAAGCTATTAGGGGCTCCTGGCATCGCTAGTAGGAGCAAGGACGCTGCTAGAACCCAAAGGACCCACTGCAGTTTCTCGAATCTGCCTTGCTCGTGGTGCACAGCGAATGGGCTGCAGCTCCTGGCGCCACCACAAGGGTGCGCCAGAATAGAAATACATTGCCATGTAACAAGAGAGGTTAAGGGGCGTTTTCTTTGACGTCTTCTGCAAGTGTGGTTTTCTCCTCAATGTCAAAGCTTGCTCGTTCAAGGATCTCTTGACGAACTCGTCTCAGAGCCAAGTTCCTGAAGATGGGAGCGAACAAGTGTAACGTCAAAAGCGGAGTTCGTTTTTGAATATCTTGTTCATTGTTTCTGGTTACTGTTTGAACTTAATCGGCCCAAAATAGCGAGCTCCCCGCATCAAAAACTCTGGGATGGGGATCTGGCCTTCCGGAAAGACGCATCATCTGCACGTGGAAATACTACCCGCACTGACCCCAAACTAGTTTGCACGTCAAAAAATAATGTTGTTTCCAACCACATAGGAAAGACAAGGAGGAATCAAGCCTGGAGCAGAGGGAGAAGAAGCTGGTCACAGTTACGAAGGCTTTCACATTCTGCAGAGCTTAAGAGCGTGTGTTGAAGAGCACTATATTAGACCTTTCTTCCTTTTCTTGTTTCTGTGTATATAATAGTGATGGCCTCCAACCCAAGAGCGACGGCCTCCAACCTAAGAGTGACGGCCTCCAACCTACTAGCGATCCCGCACCACTGGGCAATACATCAAAGTTAGTCTGGAGTGTCAAGAGGCACTTGTCGTGTCGGACAATACCAGGAGGACCTTGTTTAGATCGTGAAGCCATCTTGTATCGAGGCACCTCGCCCTGATGGCTTCTTCGCTCTTAGGTTGGAGGCCATCGCTCTTAGAAACAAAGAAAAGAAAAGGAAGAAAGGTCTAGTAGCGTCCTTTGCTCCTAGTAGCGATGCCCTGTGTTCCTAGTAGCTTCTTGTTACTACTAGTAAGGCACTTGTTACTAGAAGCGATGCCCTGTGTTCCTACAGATCCGCCCGGAAGTCTGGACCGGACACTGAGCCTGACGCTTGGACACGCTGAGGAGACAGGGTCCAACAGCGGCTGGACGGGTGGTTCCGAAAGGAAAAGACCAAAAAGTCCGGAGAGAAGCCAAAAGTTTGTGCGTTGGAGCAAGGTTCAAGCTGACAAAGACAGGCATTGCTACATCGATGGTCAAACGAAAAATTCGACCAAGAAGGGGACGACAGCGAAGCAGACATTTTTAGGGCTGGTTGAAGAGCTAAGTACAGCATGTGCAAATAGAAAGCGAGTTGTGAACTAGCTGTGAGCATTACTTGGGAATGTAAGGCATCTGCAACAATACCTGACATGCAACGCCTTTGTTGCCTAAGACGTTAACCGGGGCCCTGCGCGAAACCACCATGTTATAAGGCTTTACAAACGTTTCGCATGCTAGGGCACGTACGCTGGGCCTCCGGATGAGCGTCACAAGCACAAACTCCGTGTTCGTGGGGTTAGTTTTTTTGGGGGTTGGGCTACGGCACAATGTACACACCTTCACGCAGCCGTTTCACATGCGCAACCCGTATACACATGCAGCGCACTACCGAACTTCTGTTCTCTTGTGGCGTTTGAGCCGCTTCTTTTCCGGCAATCAATCCTTTGGTTTTGGATTCCACCTTGGACCTTTTTACTCCACTGTTACCATCCTGGACAGCCCGTTGGACCGGGAAGGACTAAGTAGTTGCTGTGGTTTCTTGTGGTCAGGGTTTCACATGTGACGTCACTCCGCAAACGTTCATCCGACCTCTATGCCCAAGGCTTTGCGTGCCCGTGAGAAAGAAGCAGATGCCGGAGTGGTGTCGAGGCTGTGGAGCGCTTACAGCTTTCGGTTTCGATGAAACGCGCAGGGAGATCTCAAGGAGGTCGCCCGGTTGCTCCGAAGAAAGAAACGTCTCCTTTTTGCCGAGCCCCTTGTCCACATGCACTTCTTCTCCCCAGTGACCCTGGCAACCCGGGTGCGTTTTTTTACTGGGCATGCTCATACAAAATCAACGTGACCTCTTAAAGATCCATCACAAAAAACATCAAAAGCCTAGCATTTTTAACAAGTTCAATTTGATTTCTTGCAATGAAATGCTTGTTTCGTGCGGGGCCGGGTTGACGTCGATGCCTTGTTTGTGGGGCTGACGCAGTCGCACGCAAACAAATGAATTCCCTCGCAACCAACTGTGCTGTTCCTCGGAATGCCGTTCTCAAGTGAACTGGGAGAACGTCAACCGTTCTCTCTGGGACAGCAATGTTTGACTAATTGTTCCTAGTAGTACGGCCAGGAGCCCCTAGTAGCTCCTGGCCTTACTTCTAGGAACAAGAAGCTACTAGTAGCAAGAAGCTCCGAGTGCTTTTCTGTACTTCCGCTCACCGCTCAGGTCGGTAATCAGAGGGGAGGGCCACGGGGACTGCTTCTTCGGTTCGGTTAGGTCATCCAACCCCAGTTTCAATTCTTGCTAGGAGTTAATCCAGCTAGATTCACTAGCTTTGGTGTCTACTTTCTTGCAAAGAACGCAACGTGGAAAGTTGGTGTGAAATCGGGAGCTAAACAATTCGTTCAATAGCCTCTTATGACCTAAGGTAAAGCGCTTAGGTGCATCTCTTGCAGTTCCGACTGTATCCTTCAGTCTGAGGTGCTTGAGCTTCGTGGAGCAAGCTTGCGTTAAACAACCAGAAAACAAGTAGGGTTAAACATAAAAATCATGTTTGATGCAAAGGAGGTATATTGTGATATAGTCAAGCCTAGTAATATACTGAATTCCAAAAGGGAGAGAGAGAGAGAGTGCAGTTGCAGCGTAGTGGACGAACATGGCACATGCTAAAACGAACAAATCGACCAGTTCGGAGCGCACTGTTGACCAGTTCTTGTGCCACCAAAGCGAGACTGCCTCAGACACTGAGAGGAAAGTCTGCGAAAGACAGAAGCTGATTGGTGAGACTCAGGCTGAAGGGCGAGTCCAAAACGACAGCACTAATGCTCCAATCCTCGATGTCTTCACGAAACATTCAAACATGTGAAAAATCCAAAGATGTGAAATGAGATGAAATGACTAGGAGCCATGATCGCTTCTCCTGGCATCGCTACTAGGAGCAAGGACGCTACTAGGGGCTCCTG